ATTTTTTTAATTAGTTGGTCATGGTGGTGCATGCCTGTAGTCCCAGCTACCTGGGAGGCTAAGGCAAGAGGATGGCTTGAGCCCAGAAGGTCGAGAAGGTCGAGGCTGCAGTGAACCATGATCTCGCCATTGCACTCCAGCCTGGGCAGCAGAGCCGCAAAGTGAGGGACACACTGTCTCTAAAAAAAAAAACTTCGGATTTCTCCCATCCTAAAAAGGGAAACTCTCTTTTGACTATCCCCCATCCCATTAATTTATTTAACAAGTATTTATTGTGTATAGTTTACCTGGCACTGATTGGATACACACCAGTCAACAGAAGAGAATCAGTCCTTGCACTCATGTAGTGTTTTTTTTTTGTTTTTGTTTTTGTTTTTTAAGAGATGGGGTTTCACCATGATGGCCAGGCTGGTCTTGAACTCCTGACACCACAGGTGATCCACCTACCTCAGCCTCCCAAAGTGCTAGGATTACAGGCGTGAGCTGCCGCGCCCAGCCCTTGCACTCATGTAGTTTTTTTACAGTCAAGTTCAGGAAGCACACAATGATGGAAAGAATCAAAGTAATGTGAAATTACATGTATGTAAGAGCTACAAGTCAGAAGTACATGATAGGATAAGACGGGGGGGGATCCTGATTTGGACATTTCAGTCAAGACCTGAAAAATGATTAGATGTTAGGTAAAGCATAAGAGTCCAAACAGAAAATGGGTTGTGTGAAGCCCCAAGGTGGACAGACACACTTGAGGTGTTTAAGCAACTAAATTCAGTCAAAGTTGGCTAGAGCACAGTGAGAGGGGATGAGGTGGATGGTGCCCGGATCATGCAGCCCACAAGGCTATATCGTAAGAGTACTGCCTTCTTTATTTTATTTTATTTTACTTTTTTTTTTGAAACACGTTCCAAATGCTAGCTGAGGACAAGAGTACTGCCTTCTAAGAGAAGGGTGCGGCAGCCAAATCCCTCCAATGACCTATAAAGATAATTTGTGACCCTCCCCTCCCTACGCCATCTGCTGTACTTCTCTGACCTCTTCTACCACTCAGCCCCATCTCATTCCATTCCTTTTTTTTCCTTTCCTTTTATTTTATTTTTATTTATTTATTTTTTTTTTTTTAAGGCTAGTCAAGTGAAGCAGTGGGAGTGGAGAAGGAACAAAGAAATCTGTAACTGGTCAAGTGTTTTTTTTTTAATTTTTTATTTTTATTTTTTAATATAAAGATGGGGTTTCACCATGATGGCCAGGCTGGTCTTGAACTCCTGACCTCAGGTGATCCACCCACCTCAGCCTCCCAAAGTGCTAGGATTACAGGCATGAGCCACCGCGCCTGGCCATCTCATTCCATTCTAACCACATTGGCATACTTACTGTACCACAGACATACCAGGCACCCTCCGTGGGGCTTTTGCAATCACTTAGAATGCTTTGGGTCTACCTTGACCACAGTCTTTAAAATCGCAACATTATACCCCACCTTGGCACTCTTTTTCCCCGCTTGCTCTAATTTTTGCTTTTTATGCTAGTATTTATCACCTAAACATCCTATGGAATTTACTTAGGTTCATTATTCCTTTTCTGTCCCCATTAGAATATAAGCTCCCTGAGGGCAGGAACTTTTGTTGTTTTATTTACTAAAGTATGCCAAGTGCCTAAAACTGCTTGGGACATATTAGGGAGTCCATAAATATTTGCTCAATCTTTTTTTTTCTTTAAGAGACAGGGTCTTGTTGAGCCCAGGATGGAGTGCAGTGGCGTAATCATAGCTCACTGCAGCCTCGACCTTCTGGGCTCAAGCTGTTCATCACTTCAGCCTCCAGGGTAGTGGGATTATGGTGTTGAGCCACCATAACCAGCTTGCTCGAGAATTTAATGTCCCATAGTAAAGGCCTAGAGTATTTAAAAAAAGAAAGAAAAAGGAAAAAAGGAAGAAAAGAGGGAAGGAGAAAAGAAAATAAAAGAATATAATGGGGTACCACCAGGCGCCATGGCTCATGCCTGTAATCCAGCACTTTGGGAGGCTGAGGTGGGCTGAATGCTTGCGTTCTAGAGGTCAAGACTAGCCTGGGCAACATGGTGAAACGCTGTCTCTAACAAAAATACAAAAATTAGCTGGGCTTGGTGGTGGTGTGCACCTGTGGTCCCAGCTGCTTGGAGTCGGGGTGGGGTATTGGGGTGGGAGGATTGCTTGAGCCAGGGAAGCAGAGGTTGCAGTGAGCCAAGATTTCACCACTGCACTCCAGCCTGTGTGACAGAGTGAGACCCCATCTCAAAAAAAAAGAATGGAAGCCATCGAAGGTTAAAAGGAAGGAAGTGACATGATCCAGAAAAGGTTGCTTTGCTCTTTGGAGAATGGATTGTAGAATGAATATGGAAGTAAGCAAGTTTGGTGAAGGATGTTTGGCTATGAAGGGAAGGAGGGTGGGACTTGATTGTATACGAGCCAAGGGAAGAACTTCCCCTTTGCTCTCTGAAGATCTCCTGAAAAATCAACTCAAAAGGCAGATTAACTAGAAAAAAGGCATACAAATGTATTAACATGCACACTGGAAGAACCACAAAGTGATTACCCATCCCCCTACAGAGTTCAGAAGTTTATATACTGTCTGGCAAAACATTATGGGAGGGGTAGAAGAGAATTTCTGTGTTTTGTTTTGTAGAGATGGGGTCTTGCTATGTTGCAGGCCTAGTCTCGAACTCCTGGGCTCAAGCGATCTTCCTGCCTTGGCCTCCCAAAGTACTGGGATTACAGTCCTGAGCCAGCATGTCCAGCCCTGTTTGTTTAAGGAGATTCTGTTGAAGGGCAATAAAGGATTACTAGGGAGAATGGAATGGAGACAGAGATTAATTTGTAAATAGTTCTCTTCGGAATTTGAATGATTCTGAGAGGTAGACAATACCTTGTAAAAGAGTTTGTTCAGGTATGGTTTCGTGTTAGTCTTAGAAGGAAGGCAAGACAAAACAAGTATTCTTTTTAGTGGTTTTGGACTTCAGGCAGATAAAGAGTTCCAGACAACAACTTCATCCTGGCTTTGGGAGAGTCTGTATGGGGTGGAAGGATCAGAGGGACCTTGAGGCTTCTTGAGTTCAGCATGTCAAAGTGCCATATTTGTGGGTATTGGTTTCTTTTTTTTGAGACAGAGTCTTGCTCTGTCTCTGTTTCCTAGGCTGTGCAGTGGCACGATCTCAGCTCACTGCCAGCTCTGCCTCCTGGGTTCAAGCGAGCACATCCGGCTAATTTTTTGTATTTTTAGTAGAGATGAGGTTTCTCCGTGTTGGCCAGGCTGGTCTTAAATTCCTGACCTCAAGTGATCCAACTGCCTTGGCCTCCTGTAGTGTTGGGATAACAGGCTTGAGCCACCGCACCCAGCCTGGGGTATTGGTTTCTGAGCTCCAGCAGTTAGAAGGGATTAGAGGAGCAGGACCCTGAAGAGGTGGAAGTTGAGACAGTGCAAATGGAGGTAGATTTGAAGGGTTTTTTTTTTCTCTGTAGGAGGAGGCAAGCTCTTTTGATGCAAATGAGGTGGTAAAGTCAAAGGTTTGGAGGGGGTGGAGGGGTTGATACAGAGGCTTAGCAGGGACTACATTTTATCATGGTGTAAGAGTGCACGTTGTGGATTTGAAAGAACAAGTTGCCTAATCTCCATAAACCTCAATTTCCTTATAACTGAGATGGAGGTGATACTGGTACATACTTGATGGAGTCACCAGGAGATTGAGACATCTGGTAAACCTCTTCATGGGGTCTGACATAGAGTAAGCACTCACAAAGTATTAGCTCCTTTTAGCTGTTAGAGAAAAGGTAGCCTTAAGAACAGTCAGGGAGCAGTGAAAATCAACCAGGCACACTTTCTCATTGCTAATGGTCAGCCACCTATGGTTTACTAGATCAGGAAAAGATTAGGAATAAAAATAGCTCATCTCTATTCTCCCACTGATTTGCCATCTGTTCTTAGGCAGATCTTTTGTCCCTCTGATCCTTGGTTTCTTCTAGGATAGAATGCAGATTTTGGGGCCAGGTGTGGTGGCTCACACCTATAATCCCAGCACTTTGGGAGGCAGAAGTGAGCAGATCACCTGAGGTCGGGAGTTTGAGACCAGCCTGACCAACATGGAGAAACCCCAACTCTGCTAAAAATACAGAATTAGCCGGGCATGGTGGCACATGCCTGTAATCCTAGTTACTCGGGAGGCTGAGGTAGGAGAATCGCCTGAACCCAGGAAGCAGAGGTTGTGGTGAGCCAAGATTGCGCCATTGCACTCCAGCCTGGGCAACGAGTGAAATTCCATCTCAGAAAAAAAAAAGAATGCAGGTTTTGGACTAGATGACTACTAAAGGCTGTTTCAGTGTAACCATGCTATATCTCTAAGAGGCAGAGAAACCATCTACCCCAGTTCTCGTAGGCACACCTAAACAACCTTTATCCATACACACAGTTACAATAAGCATCAGAGATACACAAATGCTCCCAAACAGGAGGCCCTGGTCCTGGACCCATCCCAGCCCTGGCCTCTCAGTCTTTGCATGTCTCCAGGGCTATAACGCTAACCCCCTTGAGGCCACTTGCTCAGCTCTACCAGTTGTATCTCAGTGCTGCAGCCAGCCAAGGGTAAACCCATGAGCATCTTCACAGTGCTTGAGAAAAGCTGGACCCTATGTGAATGGTGTAGAGAGGGAAGTGGCCATCACCCCTGGAAGGCCTCAAGTTTCAGCCTCATTGTGACTGACTGCTTTGGCTGGGTCTTTTTGTTTCAGGTCATCATGAGGAAACCACGAGCAGCCGTGGGAAGTGGTCACAGGAAGCAGGCAGCCAGCCAGGGTGGGAGGCAGAAACATGCTAAGAGCAGCAGTCAGGCCAAGCCTTCTGCACCTAATGGTAAGGAACTCAGTTGTAGTCCAAGGCTCATCGGCCATGAAAGGGGGCAGATTCAGGCTGGGAAGGGATTGTGATAAGTATCATTAAGAGACTTACTAAGGACCAGGTGTGATAGCTCACACCTGTAATCCCAGCACTTTGGGAGGCCAAGGCGGGTGGATTCCTTGAGCCCAGGAGTTTGAGACCAGCCTCGGTAACATGGTGAAACCCCATCTCTATGCTCATGTGGTGGTGAGTGTCATGTAGTCGCAGCTACTTGAGAGGCTGAGGTGGGATGATTGCTTGACCCGGGAATGCAGAGGTTGCACTGAGTGGAGATAGTGCCACTGCACTCCAGCCTGGGCAACAGAGCCAATCTCTGTCTCAAAAAAAAGAAACAGAAAAAGAGAGACTCACTAAGGGTGTAATTCTGACTATATTGCTGTGTGACATTAGGATAATTGCTCTGAATGGCTGCTTTCTTACCAGTCAAATGGAGCAGTCATTCAGCATTTCCTCCCTCATGTGGCTTTCATGGGACCAAATGAGTTTATGAGCCTGAAAGTGTTTTGTAAATAAGAAAGCCCTGCACAGGTATAAATTATAGCTGGCTAAAACTCTTAAGTTTTCATTACAGCTCAGAAACAAAGAAGCCAGCAGTACCACCCTGAGAAAATTAAGGCCAGAAACTTAGCCACAGTTACATGCAATTACAGAACTCTGGTCTGACTCCAACTCCAAAGCTTAAATAAGGGGGTTGGTTGGAGGAAGCCCTAGGTGGGAGCATACCGCCACAGGCTGCTGTGTCCCGAGACCCTGGTGCACAGCTTGTGCAGGGATGATTTCTGAGTGTCCTGGGGCTCCAGCAGGCCTGGCCAGACAGCTGGAAGAGGTGGTTTTGCAGGCCTCTGTCTCCCCATACCATCAATTCAGAGACATAGCCGAAGTCACAGCCTTCCGAGGAAGTCTGCTAAGCTGGTACGACCAAGAGAAGCGGGACCTACCATGGAGGAGACAGGTAGGCAGGCGAGGAACAGGGACAGTAGGTGGGAGGCAGGCACCCATCTCCCTCCACGCTAACTCCTCATCTGGGGTTACATTGACAGGCAGAAGATGAGGTGGACCCGGACAGGCGGGCATATGCTGGTCAGTACATCTCCTGAGAGCAGGGCACTTTGTGTTGAGGACCTTGGGTCTGGGGGCTGTGGGCCAGGATAGGGCAGGTCAGCAGTGTCCTCATGCCAACTCCTTTCCCCCAGTGTGGGTCTCAGAGGTCATGCTGCAGCAGACCCAGGTTGCCACGGTGATCAACTACTATACCAGATGGATGCAGGTGACTCCAGGGGAGGAAGGGGAGGGTCATGGGTCAGACCCCAGATGAGAGCCTCTACTTTGGGGTGGGTGTAGAGAACACTTCCTCTACCACCCTCACCCTTGACCTTGTCTCTTTCTGCCTGCCTGTGGCTGTAGAAGTGGCCTACACTGCAGGATCTGGCCAGTGCTTCCCTGGAGGTGAGAGCTACCCAAGGGTAGGGGGAATAGGAACAATGGAGGGACTGATGAGTGATCTCTTTGACCTCTGATCCCACCCACAGGAGGTGAATCAGCTCTGGGCTGGCCTGGGCTACTATTCTCGGGGCCGGCGGCTGCAGGAGGGAGCTCGGAAGGTAAGGGGATGGCAGGAGGGTGGGAATCTAGGAGCCCTGGTGTCTCATAAGCTTGAGTCTTGCACTCCAATCAGGTAGTAGAGGAGCTAGGGGGCCACATGCCACGTACAGCAGAGACCCTGCAGCAGCTCCTGCCCGGTGTGGGACGCTACACAGCTGGGGCCATTGCCTCTATTGCCTTTGGCCAGGTAAGCTCACAGCCCATCCCCATTTTGGGTGCGCTCAGCCTCCTTCCTCCCAGCCCAGGCTGACTCTTTGGCTCCTCTGTGCCAGGCAACTGGTGTGGTAGATGGCAACGTAGCACGGGTGCTGTGCCGTGTCCGAGCCATTGGTGCTGATCCTAGCAGCAACCTTGTCTCCCAGCAGCTCTGGTAGGATGTCGGGGTGACAAGGGTGCTTCAGGGGTGTCTCCAAAGGAGCTTTGGCTCATAGCAGTGTTCCCTTCTTTTAGGAGTCTAGCCCAGCAGCTAGTGGACCCAGCCCAGCCAGGAGATTTCAACCAGGCAGCCATGGAGCTAGGGGCCACAGTGTGTACCCCGCAGCGCCCACTGTGCAGACAGTGCCCTGTGCAGAGCCTGTGCCGGGCACGCCAGAGAGTAAGCCTAATTGGGAAGGGACAGTGAGGAGTCCTAAGGAGTGACACTGCCCCATGACACCCAACCCTGTGCCTCTCAGGTGGAGCGGGAACGGCCCTTAGCCTCATGGAACCTGTTGGGCAGTCCTGATGTGGAGGAGTGCGGTGAGCACCAAACCTAGCCCTCTCCCCAGCCCTTCCTGGCCCTGTCAGAAGCCTCATTCCAGCTCCTCCTCTAACCTGAGTAAGAGTCTGCAGAACCTGGCCAAAGCCTGCTCTCTAGGCTTGGCACCTAAGCCCTCTTGGCCTGAGTAGGGCTCGGGGATCTCATTCCCAGCTCCCAGCACTGGACAGTGCCAGCTGTGCCTGCCTCCCTCGGAGCCCTGGGACCAGACCCTGGGAGTGGCCAACTTCCCCAGAAAGGCCAACCGTAAGCCCCCCAGGGAGGAGAGCTCTGCCACCTGTGTTCTGGAACAGTCCAGGGCCCTTGGGGGTGCCCGAATTCTGCTGGTGCAAAGGCCCAACTCAGGTACCTGGATACTGTGCATGGAGGGCAGTGGCGTGAGTAACAAGGGAGAATGGAGGGAATTGGCAGCTGACACCTGACACCTGCCTGCCTGCCCTCCCTCTCAGGTCTGCTGGCAGGACTGTGGGAGTTCCCGTCTGTGACCTGGGAGCCCTCAGAGCAGCTTCAGCGCAAGGCCCTGCTGCAGGAACTCCAGCATTGGGCTGGGCCCCTCCCAGCCACACACCTCCGGCACCTCGGGGAGGTAAGTTAGCAGCGGGAGGGCCAGCGATGTTGGCTTTTGAGGCTATAACCACAGGCCTATTTGAACCCCTTGGCCCTTCCTCCAGGTTGTCCATGTCTTCTCTCACATCAAGCTGACTTATCAAGTATATGGTCTTGCCCTGGAAGGGCAGACCCCAGTGACCACCGTACCACCAGGCGCTCGCTGGCTGACCCGGGAGGAATTTCACACCGCAGCTGTCTCCACTGCCATGAAAAAGGCACGACCTTTGTTGTCTTTGTTGTACTTCTTTGTGTTTCCTACGTGTTCTACGTGAACATATTACTGTGTAGACAGGAAAAAAGGGCATGTTTGATTTTATTGTTTCAGATGGAGACTCACTCTGTTGCCCAGGCTGGAGTATAGTGGTGCGATCTTGGCTTACTGCAACCTTTGCCTCCCAGGTTCAAGCGATTTTTGTGCTTCAACCTCCTGAGTAGCTGGGATTACAGGTGTGCACCACCATACCCAGCTGTTTTGTACTTTCAGTAGAGATGGGGGTTTTACCATGTTGGCCAGGCTGGTCTCAAACTCCTGGCTTCATGTGATCCACCCACCTCAGCCTCCCAAAGTGCTGGGATTACAGGCATGAGCCACCGCAACCGGCCAAAAAAAAAAAACCACGCTTTTTATTTTCTTTTTTTTTGAGACCGAGTCTCACTGTGTTGCCCAGGCTGGAGTGCAGTGGCACAACCTTGGCTCACTGCAACCTTGCCTCCCAGGTTCAAGTGATTCTCTTGCCTCAGCCTCCCAAGTAGCTGGGATTGCAGGTGTGTGCCACCATGCCTGGCTGATTTTTTGTTTTTTAATTTTTATTTTTTATTTTTATTCTTTGGGTGGGGAGACGGAGTCTCTCTTTCTCACCAAGGCTGGAGTACAGTGGTGTGATCTCAGGTCACTACAAACCCTGATTCCCAAGTTCAAGTGATTCTCCTGCCTCAAAGTGTGCACCACTCTAGGGTCCACTGCCACGTTGGGCGCCAGATGTAGGGTCCAGCCCTACGCAGAGATGAGAAATTGCAGAAATAAAAGACACAGACACAGAGATGGAGAAAAGAGAGTTTGGGCCCAGGGGTCCACTGCTACCCAAATCATGGAGACCAGCAGTGGCCCCGAATGCTGGGACACTCTCACTTTTATTGAGTTGCAAATCTGGGGGCCAGGTAGGTAGGGCATGGTCTTGGTGGTCGGAGACTGGGGGGCAGGGTAGATAGGATGTGGCAGTGATAGGGTCAAGTACATTATGTGCCATTCAGGTAGGGAGTCAGGAATTTCTGGCACCTGAAGTGAGGTAAGGAGCAGAATGCATCAGCACCTTTTCCATACTTATCAAGAACTAAAGCATTAAGATTTATATTACTATTACTGATTATCTTTTCTAAGAAAAAAGGAACCAGGTGCAGAAGCGGAACATGCGAGTAGACATGGAACGTGACCACTGAAGCACAGCATCACATAGAGACAGTTAAGCCCCTGGATGTCTGCAGGCCCACCTGACAGCAATCAGGTCTCGCCACAAGAGCTTGGAGAAGCAGAGTTTTCTCCTAACTTCCCCAGGAAGGAGATGTCTCGGCCATTTTGGACATCTCCTTCCCTAGCTGGCTAAACAGTGGGTGCTGCTGCACAGCTGAGGCGCCCTCCAGCAGCCCTTATGCAGGCGTGACAGAGGGCTTAAAGCATCTTCCCTTAGTGTCATTCATTTCACAATGTCACCCCAGGTTCACACTTCCGACCTGAGAGGCATTAGTAAAAGAATTAAGATCACCTATGGCCGGGCGCGGTGGCTCAAGCCTGTAATCCCAGCACTTTGGGAGGCCGAGGCGGGTGGATCACGAGGTCAAGAGATCGAGACCATCCTGGTCAACATGGTGAA